GGAGATGTCACTGTATTCGACCATCACTGAGCGCTGCCTGCATTCGAAATATAAGACCATGCTTTGACACGTGAAAATTCAAATGTATTCAAAAATATTGACCAATGAGTGGAGTTTATTTGAAAAGACCATTCAGCAAATAAGGCTTATTGGTCATATCACTTAACATCCAATCGTATTCGATGAACGCAGATGAGCTTTACTAATTTGAATCTCAAAGAGCATTCTCATGCAAATTGAAGTGGCACAATCTCACGCACAACCGAAACAGTCACTAAAAATCTCTTGCAATTTAATCGTTTTATGCATGGGGATGCGTGGTATAAGCCGTTAATCGCAACTCGTTGTCGTGCGTTTACAACTATAATATTTATATTTATAGTTATAAACGCACTCCAACTCGTGCGATTAACTATACATATATATTATACAGTTATAAGCAAAAACCCAGTAATGTATTTGTTAAAGCTCCTCGGCAAAATTAACATATTCGACAGATATGTGATCAAATCATTTGTGTCACTTATGAGAGATTGTGAGTATAATGGTATTGAGTACACGAACACCTGGTCCGTTTACAACGAGTGAGAATCAAAGAAATCTGCAATTAATGCTGAAAATATGGATAAATATCATGTCAATATAAACCCAATATACATGTCTTGAACAAGGTCGGTGTTCGTCGTGTCCACGTGTATTCGAACACGCTTCTAGTGATGTGTTATAAACGCCACATTTGATCCAAACATACCATTGGTGTATACATAAGTGATCTAGTTCACTGTTGAAACTATAGTGCAGAGTTACTATGCATGTTCTATTACTGCATTGCTATCTCCATATGGCGGTAGGGGGACTTTTCATCGAAGGAAATGAATATCGATTTCCATGGTTCGTTTTAGCTGGTCTCGCATTGCCTAATCTTTAACTCTTTCTCAAAACGTCATATCAGACCATCCACTAATATATTGATTTGAATCAGAATACAGACCAATCAATATATATCCACCGTTATACATGTTGCTTATTGTGCAAGCACGTAGTTTTAACACAAAGTGAGTTATTACACCAAAACAAACAGTTGAAATTAACGCTAGGTGCATCTAATCCGTGACATATGGTGGTCATTCGTTTATTCTATTGTATAATGCATTAATGAACTTGAGATTTTATTTTATTTTATTTTTTTTATTAAGCTAAAGCCAACAGGCAAAAAACACAATTACAGTAAAATATTTCACAAATAAAACATTTATCAAAATCACAAATAGCAAAAAAGTTATTTTCTAAAAAAGCGACTACATTGTTTTTAAAAGTATTAATATTGATAAAAATATAAATTGTGTTATTTTTTGACATTGTATTAAAAAGAGAAAGTACACGAAGAAAATATGAACATTTTCTGACATTTACTCGACATTTTGGGACATGGAAAAGCTAACGTAATCTCGGAGAAGCAATATGTAAAGGCATTCCGATAAAATGTAGGAGCAATCGTAATAAGAATGAAGGGATTTGTGTGAAAAATACAAGTCAAGACATTTTCGACGTATTTCTAATGGAGGTAAGTTGAAACGGTTGCAGAGTGATTTTTCTTTTGAAGAAAATAAATATATTTGAGCCTAAAACATTTATAAAATTCTTTTGAGCTCGTTCAATTTTATTAACAAGACATGTTTGATAAGAAGGCCACACTTGAGAACAGTACTCAAGGCTGCTCCTCACTAACGTTATGTACAAAGTTTTAATAAGATTTACACCTTCGCTTAAGAAAACCAAACATTTTAAAATATGTTTATATTATCTCTAAAATGAAGTTTACTTGTTAATAAAACACCTACATACAAGTTGCCATCTAGAACACCAACCAACTACACGATCAAGATCTTTCTGAAGCTTATTACAATCAGATGACTACAGCTTCGAATCATTAGCAAACTTGGATACATTAGAATGCATAATGCAGCTTGGAAGGTCATTGACATACAGATTAGAGCAAAGTGTTGAATTCCAAATGTTGAAAAAACATAAACACTAATATTTTGCTGTACTGTTTATTACAATATCAGGGGTAAATTCTTTTCTCTCGGGGTTCCACACTGTCAGGGGGGAATCTCGTCTCGTCTCTCTATCTCGCCCCCTTGAGGTATGGGATCGGGAAAGTCACTTATGCTTAACAGTCAAATAAGACGCACACAACGAAATACGTTTCAGCTCTCGTCTTAGTCGGTCTTTTGGAGCACTCTATAAGACACAGCGCCCTGGGGAAAAGTCTCCAAGACTCTCACAAGGCTGAACCAAGACTCGCCCAAGACTGGACTGCCTCAAGGCTCGCCCCTGGACTGGACTCTCGACTGCCCAGGACTGCACTCTCTCTCTACTGCGTCTATCGTGCTGTGCTCCCCAAGACCAACTCAAACTCTCTTTATTCATTTTCAAAACTCTAACCAATTACAAAACAGTAAAAGACTCTAGGGCGTAACCTTCAATCATAAAGCCAATCACACTAAGTACTGAATACGTCCATATTTTTTGATTAATCGTTCACTACATTAATAACTATGGATACCAACTGTCAGAATCGCGACGGTTATCTGGTAATTAGTTCCAAATCACTGAGCCAAGTTCCGTCCAAAACTTCAAATAGGCCTAAACGATGACAGACATAACACAGCAATTCGGCTAATAATCAACTAATAAAGTCGGTCAACAGATACGCAAAAACAAATTCATGACAACAACAAAACAAACATTTTCACTTCTGAAATTAATGCTTCCTGGAGTGCATTTTGTGGCCATTCGTTTATTTGATTTCCATCACAACAATATATTTATAAAAAAAAGGTGACGAAATACGAATCTAATGACGGTGGATCTAATGACGGTGGATCTAATGACAGTGGATCATGATATATTGAACGCAAATTGTTCAACCCGCATAAATATTTCTCAATTTCAATTTCACGGTAGGTTTGTTATGAAAAGTTTGTCCAGACCACAAAGACACCGATGAATACAATGTAAGCATGGGGAAAAGGAAACGGCTCGTTTTATGCTAACTAGTCAGAAGTGTAGAACAAAATATCATTGGTTCATATTTTAATTACGATATTATCTGTTTTTGAGCGGAGATACGTCACAGAACGTTATACGTTGCTAAGACGCGCACCACTGTACCATATATTTCTGAGGGTAAAAACAGCTAAAGTGGAAAAAAGAATCTCGAACATCCAAATTTATATATGTTGTTGGGGGTAATCTGTTGCCATCGCAACATAATCGAATATTACCATAATACCTAGTTTTTACAAATGCAAATATGATCCACATCCGTTTGTCCCTTTTACTTATAACAAATAGAATTAAAATCATTTTGTTACATGGACATGTTTAGCCAGTCGATTGAAGGTATGACAAATAGCGGTCACATGATGTTAACCACGAGTACTCAACATTACATATCATCTAGTATTTCAAATCGTTCATCCCAACCCTAGGCCGGAACGGTCACAAAATCGTACAATCAATCCAGCTCGTCAATCAAGAGGACGTGATCCGGAAATATAAAGGTCTCATCATATGAATCACTCGTTTTCATAATCAGATGTTTTCTGACGGGGTATTTGTTCTGCTTACCACTTCCTTCTACTAATTTGGGCTGTATGCGGGAATAAAAAAAAAACGCCGCCTAATAACTTCGACTCTGCCACGATTAAGGAGATCTGAAAGAGTTTGGAAGGGTGGAGTTTACAGCGCTGTGATATTTACAGTTTTATGACATTTTCCAGATATATGGGGTTTTACAGAGTTATCATGCGTAATTATGAGGTTTTTAGAGTCATCAGGTATTGCATAGTCATCGATTGTGATTATCGGGCTTTCGCTGTAATAAGAATTTTGGTTGAATATTTAAATATTCAAGTTGAAATTCAAGTTGAATATTTTGACGACTGTGGATTTGAATGTCGAACTGACTGTACAAGAATCGTGGCATTCTAAAGAATAAACTAATCAATTGGTGGGCGTTGGAATGTCGAATACACATAACTAACTAACAGAGTTTGGGGTTAATTATTATTATTAATTATCGAAGTTTAGTAAACTATTTACAGCAGTGTCATCTAACGGAACTATTAGTACCATCGTACATGGGAACACTGGTCATTTGGTTTTATACGGCATGTCTGTATGTCAGTTCTAATTTCACACCAATAGTTGTTATTATCAGGTAAGTTTGGAAGTTTATTGGTCGTTATTTTAGTGAGATACGTGAAATGTACTATGTGCGCCATATTTATTGGACTTCATAAATCTTGCTTTATACATATCACTGTTTTTTTCAGAAAGATTCCAATCATATCAAATATAATATTATTCTAAAAAAGGAGAGGATTTAACGGAAATTATTGACGCCACTAACTCTATTTTCGATGCAAATCCGATTGTTTTTGTAGCTAAAACATTAGACAAATTTCTCGCGATAATGCTCATATATAGAGCTTGCTATCCCATAAATATACCAAGCTTGCTGAAAAAACGCAGCGAGCATTTGTTCCTGTGTATGATACCGAAGATCCCACCTGACTTATGTACTATATCCCATCATTTTATGTTGTGAAGCTCGTTTTGATTGTAGATAATTCGAAATGTGCAGAAAACTGTTTGGATGTCTGTGTTCCAGCATAAAGGCGATCATATGCACCATCTGCACGATTGTTGTTGTGTTGTTGATAGTTGGCTTCGTGATTGCTTTAATTGTTCTCAAACCCTGGGAGGACGATGAGACACCGGATAGCACATTGACACAAGATCTTCACGGAAGATGGACAATTAGCTCACTAGATGGTAACCAAATTACATTCATTTTGAAATAAGGTGGATTTAAATGCATGTTTTACGAATGACGTTACGTGTTGCTAAGTGATGTACATGACAGCGATGTCACTGACGTCATCCACTACACAACTCCTATCCTGATTATAAAGTATGCGCCATTTTCAACATAAACATGCCCAGGCCAAATTTCTATGTAGACAACAGTGACAAAGATTGTTTACGAGATAGTCCGTGGAATGTACACTGCGAATGTCATGTACTCATGTCTTAGTAATCTGACAACGGTAAACCCAAAGGTCATTTATTTCGTTCATTTGGAAAATAAATCACTTATTCACTTATTTAAGGGCGATGCCATGACAATAAATCTACTGGAGAATTATATTTGTAATCTTATTACTAGTAAAATGTAAACGAGATATTGTGAACTGTCCAAAATAACAATAAATAATAGTTTGCTTATTAACGATACGTTCTAAATAGAATACTGTACTCTGTCGCCAATCAAATTTCATAAAAATTCAGAATGTCTTTAAGTTGCTTTTCTTCTAAATTTAATCTGTGAATGTGTTTCTGAGAAACGGGTAGTACACATGGAAAACTGCCACCAATCAGCAATATATTGAATAAATCACAAAACAATATGACGTGAAGCTATAACCCGTCTTAAGATACCAACTTGAATGAAAACAGACGGACGGATGCCCCAAAACCCGGGACTGATAATCAGCGTGTTTTCGTGTGACGTTTGCTTGTGAACGTAACTGGGATACGCGTGCCATATCCAAACTACCAATGCTGTCGACATTTCGCGGTATTAGGTATAATTGAATACAATTTTGAGTCGGCACGGCTCAGGGGTGCCAGCTTAAAAATAATGGGTTTGGCCACATTGCCGTTCTTCCCGGACCGTCCTTACACTGTTGTTACGCAATATTTGGCAGCGCGTCATCTAACTACTAGTATTGTTTCATTGCAGGTAAATCTTGGTGGAGTAGTGTGCCTGGCAATATACATACAACACTAATCAATGCACGTGACATAAATGATCCGTATTACAGGTAATCACGTGATAACATCAGACGGAGCGATATTCTTTATATCACACTAATTAATTCGTTTTCAACGTTACTGACCGCGAAGTTCGATTAACTAAATCGTGACATTGCCATTAAGTGTTATCTAATAATAGCTTAATTAAGAGGGCAGAGGTCGTCGCGCTGCGCATGTGCGACCTTTGTGTTGATAAACATTGATTTTCCCACAATCCATGCGCTCTTTTAATGGAAATTACAAGTATGAGGTTTGACCCGGGCACGACTTTCACTAATTACCGCCGGTGACTCCTTCGGTACCTTACAATCAACTAAAAAAATACCTAATTAAAGCTTGGTAACGTCTCAGTTCTTATTCACTGATCTGCGCAAAAGTCGCCATCTTTGTTTATATGAGACTCATATATCTCGCGCATGCGTGGTGCGACGACTACCGCCCTTTAGGTTCAAATCTGATGATCTGATACCAAGTAAATACAATCCAGTGTTTTCGAAACTAACAGCTCAAATTCTCAAATTCTTGCAAATCTCAGGTAAACAAGAAACACCTACTGTATTTGGATAACACCCAGAGAAATCACTGAAAAAACATAAAGATTAAAATCTCCAAATACCACAGAATAAACCCACACGTACATAGTCGCTAAGTAGTAAACCACAAAAGACCACATGTTAGTCCCACCTTTGACCCAGGTGATCACACCCTCTAATAGGGATCACCTGAGAAAAAAATACCATTGGTTCTTGCAAGGCATTGACAAAGTGTCTACTGTGCATGTGCATGTTGTCACGGGAACGATTTTATCATAAACACCTAATAATGTTATGTTTATCATTTCAGACATAATGATTTGGAATACAAAAACATCTCATACGAAGGATATATATTTTCCACAAATTTTCAAGGTACATATATTAAAGTTGCATTCATACATTGTAAATTTGTGAAACGTCACTCCCAGACAAGCAGGCAAAATTATCAGGCAAAATTATTTGCCCGATAACTCGGTTGTGTATTGCGCCCTCTGTGGTCTGCGTATAACCACCTAACAGTGTACAAACTATTGAGTTTGTTCATAATCAGCAAATAGCTTGAAATTCAACTACATATGTTCTACATGCAGTTGACCAGCAAATGAAAGATCAGAACACAGTAATACTAGTATGTGAAGGAATACAGACCGTGTCAACGGTTAAGATGAATGGTGAAGAAATCGGCAAAACAAACAATCAATTCATTAGATATGTATTCAACGTCTCATCTCAGGTTAAGGTGAGTCAATCCCTTATAGTGGTGGTGATTATTTCAGAGTACTGATTTGGAAAATATCATCTATGCAATGGGAAATACGCTTTATAATTTGCATTTGTATTTTTTTTTATCTCAGGAAGGAAGCAACAAGATAGAATTTTATTTCGAGTCTAGTGTGAGTTATGCAAACCAGAAATCAGACGATTACGGGAAAGTTGTTCCACCAGAGTGTCCTTCCGACGAGTTTAATCCCGAATGTCATGCCAATTTTATACGCTCTACGCAGTCGTCGTTTGGTTGGGAAATGGGACCAGCATTCCCGACTCAGGGAATATGGTAAATATTCTAATTTTTAATCTATATAAATATGATTGCGGAGACCTCAAACTGTGCCATCAAAGTTCACTATCAGACTGGTAACCATGGATACTTCAAAGTCGTCAAATCGAACAAAATCATTTCACGATTAACAATAATAATCTTTTAATTTAATTTCACATTATAAATTCTAGACCGTACTCGAGTCTTCAATAATGTATTGTAACAAATAAAAAAAACTTAAAGGTCATAGATGAGGAATAATAATAATTGACTACAATAACTATGGTATGCATGTTTCTGGCGCAGTACGATATAAATTCGCACAGAAGAATTATAAACATTAAACCTTTTTGGCCTTGATGTATTAGGTGATTATTGGCTGTAAGTTAATCCGTGTGATACTAAGTAATGACAATGTGGGCATTAGCCTCTAGTGACAGTGCATGGTCTGTCGGGGTAGACATAAAATCCTGCGTCCCTTGATGATTACGATAACTCGATATTATGACGTACGACGTCATAACGTGATGATTTCTTACAATAGGATATTTACAAGACGATGCGACAATTAATATTACTACGTTATTTATAAGGGATGTTGATACAATGATTACATATAATGACATTCAGAACCGTCTTTTAAATAAATATGCCGATAACACTGCAATGAATATTTTCAATTTCAGGAAATCTATTTATCTAGAAGGATACAATCGAGCTAAAGTTATGGATGTAATGGCGTGGCCATATAAAGGTATTACATGGAGTAAAATTTAACATGATATTTTGACATTTAACATCATGTATAAGTATAGGTAACACCACTGAATAGGAGAGTGTTACCTACTTAATATGCACTTAAGATTTGGTCATATGGTCGTTATTTATCAGTCCGAGCAGCGTTTATTAATTTATAGTCCTCTGGAAGGTGCATACTTGATTAACAGCAATGGTACATTGGTGACACGTAATTGAAAACCAGCCCATCGATGTCTTCAAAATTCTCAAAAGTTTGTCTAAGTTAAATTTGAAAGAAAAGTATGACGTTTATTGTCTTTTATTAAAATATTAGAGATGGAGGGCGACATGTTGTCATCGTGGATGCTGAACGTGACGGTTCATCTTAAAGTGACCGATGACGTCGACTCTTATGATACACTTATTGTTGAACTAGAAGCGCTTGGTGTGAGAGAGGAAGTGATATTCTTAGAACCTCTTGAAGCTGGGGACCAGAAAGTGTCTGTCACACTCAGAGTACCGACGGTAAGAATTATTTCTGTATCAATTAAGAGGATCAATGATTACTCTTTTCCACATAATTATATACTGTTGTCTTATAAAATAAAATAAAATATTACTATACGTTACAGGCTGATACGTGGTGGCCAGTCGGTTATGGAGATCATCCCATCTATAAACTGAATGTGGAGTTTATTAGTGAAAAGTATTTTGAGAAATCTTCCAAAACAATCAATGTAGGATTCCGAACTGTTGAGTTAGTAGAAGAGATCGTAGGAACAGGTACTACAACGGAAGGTAAAGGAAGAATTGATTTCGTCCACGCAGAAACATTATACAATTGCCAGGTTTACAAGTGAATGGGGATATTGGGTTGGAACAATCTGATCAAAACCGAAAGCAAATGCAATTGTAGGAATATCAATCACTTTTTATTATCGTTATCGTTGTAGGTTATAGCTTCTACTTCAAAGTTAATGGTCTTCCGATTTTCGTAAAAGGAGCTTCGTGGATTCCCGTGGATTCGTTTTTAGATCGTGCTACACCCTACAGGATTCGTAAACTATTAGAATCAGCATTGTGGGCCAATATGAATATGATACGAGTTTGGGGAGGCGGTGTGTATGAGAACGACCTACTCTACGATTTTGCGGATGAAAATGGTCTGTTGATATGGCAAGATTTCATGTTCGCTGTATCTATGTATCCTGCTGATGATGAGTTTCTAGCCACTGTCGAAGATGAAGTTAGACACCAGGTATATTACACCTGACCAGATTTGATTAATTTCTTTATGATTTTATGCCCTAATACGAATATGTTTTGCATTCTTTTACTCTACCTATACCGAACACTTTCTAATGTTTTTGGTTGTATCAACTAATTTAGCGTTTTTTGTATGATGGACTATAATTATTCATAGCTTAGGATTGAAAACACATACTTATCAGGGTGCAAGTTATTTTCACAAATATGTCGGTGATATGCATTGTTATTGTCAAGTTCGCCCATGTAACTCCAATGGTAGTAGCAGTGCAGTGCCTTTGACGAGGTCACTGGACAATGCCGATGGCTGCACACAAAACTCAATGTTTTATTATTATTAGCTTCGCGATTAAAACAATTCACAGTGAATAAAATGCGAATGCAATTAGAAATGATAGTGAAATGTTCATTAATATAATTTGATGTTTGATATGTACATAACTGTATGTTTCATCCAGGTTCGCCGACTTTCACACCATCCGTCCATTGTTATATGGGTTGGAAACAGCGAAACTGAACTAGCTTATAATGAAAAGTGGTGAGTAATATTTAGGTGGTAATCTATTAGTTATTATTTAATCAGTCTTTATTTTTTATAGAATTACCAGAAATGTTGTCACAGCAGCGAATGTTTGTTGAATTGTACTGACTATTGAAGTACTGGATGTGGACACATATTGCCTACCGTTATTCCCATATATATATGAATCGCGCCGATCCGACATGCTAGCTGAAGTAATGACACTACACAACGCGCAGTCAGTATATACCTGAGTTCATTTTGTAAAAGTTGACTATCCCATTTGAACAACTAAATTAGAATAACGTTGACATAGTTTTCACATATATACTGTTAACGATCCAACAGGTTTGATATAGAGCCTGACTCCGATGAGGATTACGATGAACTGTTTACAAGAATTGAAAAGACAATTTTGGAAGAAGATGACAGCCGTTATTTCATGATGTCCAGTCCTTCTAATGGTAAAAAGAATAAAGAAGACGACACGAGCATTTCCACAAACCCGAACGACGATAAATATGGAACAAGTAAGTAACACAGTTGCATTGATACGCGCATGCGCCGATGTGTTTCTGTCGTCTGGGTTTTAATATGACCAATAAAATCAATCAAGTTGGGAAGCCATGGAACGCCACAATCTCCCATCCTCTGCACGTTTCCAGATCTCCACAACATTTTTAAGGCCCGGTCTCATTTTAAATCTGATATTTTTTTTCTGCTGACCACAATATCAATTTTCAAGCACATGTCGGGTCAGGTGACCTATCAATATTAATCTTCCTTCTTCTATCTTCTCTGTTAGTGTTGGTTTGAGGTCTTTGTATATTTGCCTGTTGGTGAGATGCTGTTTCCACGTGATATTAAATACGGCTCTGGCTCTGAGCATATGCCTATACATTCTGTTTAGGGATTTTTAGGGATGTTAGGTTATAGTCAAAGTTTCACTTCCATGCATACAGTTTTTTTTGCTTTCAACAGTTGATAACAATAGTTTTTTTTTTGATGTCTTTCGACGTTTTTATACTTCATACATTGTTCAGTTTATGAATGCAAACCATGCCTTGACTTTTCCTGTCTTGATGTCTTTTTCAGCTTGCTCACAACCAGTTCATAATATTTCGTAAATGTCATTGTTGTTATTTGCATGGCAAACTGTTTTGAAAAAAAAATATCATCGCTCCAGATTTGATATTGAATCGTCCTACTATGTGCGTGTTATTGACGCCGAACGTAAAAACATGACATATTTATTACATCACAGACCACTAATAATGTACCGCGAGGGACGAGGACGTGTACACTAGTCCTATGCAAATTATTAATACTGACTTTGTGTTCTGTTATTTACCACCCTATCTCATTCGATGCGAATTAATGTGCAAGTCGTCATCGAAAATACAAGAGACAATGCAGCGCGAGTATTACAAGCCTCTCAACATGTAATCATCACGTATAGGAATGTTCACGCTATTTTGTCCTCGGTTGTAGAACTTTTTTCATTATTCCGGATGCGCCGATTCAGGTCCGAGACCATTTGAAATGATTGATATGAAATATTTTTGCGTTTAGGGCATTTTTTCAACTATGCAGAAGACTGTTTGGATATATCGACATACCCAACACCTCGCTTTGTGGCGGAATTTGGATTCCAGTCTTGGCCATCTTTTCAGACATTGGAAAGAATATCGGATGAAGACGACTGGTATTACGACAGTGCATTCATGGACCATAGACAGCACCAGTCCAAAGGTACAAATGATAACGTGAATCCACGGAAATCTTACCAGTCGATTGCGTGTATATGAAATGAATTGTATATAGTGCGTCTATACAGATTTATTCGGAATGCCGAATACGACGATAGCCCGCCCTCTAGGCCAATTTGCATTATTTTCATCATGTTATTGTCTCTCAGATTCTAGGTCACATAGTACTCATTATTGATCAGTTTCAATAATATTGTGTTGTTAAATTTTGTATTTTGTCTCTGTCTTTCATTGCAAGTTAAAAAACAAACAGATTATGCCTTTCACGACCATCTGTTCGGGCTCTCTTACGGCAACAATTGCTCGTAGAGGGCGTGAGTACACATACCCGTTATGAAATACAATAATTTGACATGATGTGTTACGATATTGACAATTCATTTACTTAATAGCCGGTGATGCGATTGACGTGCAGTTAAATGGTTATTTTCACAAGCCGAGTCAGGGCGATACGTTACAACAATTTAAAGACACTCTGTACCTATCTCAGGTAACTGTACATCATTCATACAGTAGATAATGAAGTAATTTTCAGTTATTTATACATTAAACCTTCATGATTTGTATTTGCACTGTAATTATGGTTATACCTTCTGTTATCACTGTGGTACATCGATGCTGATAAATTATTAAAGAGGCTATGGTAATATTGGTAACTTACTTTGATGAGATATGAAATCAACATACGCCAGTACGCCTCGTCCCGTAAATGTAATTCAAAGAAACAGCGTGTTAGCGTTCTTATTAATTCGTCGAATAACAACTAATACTTTGATTCATAATATTTGTTTTCATTTTGTGATAAATCGTTGACTTACTGTTTCAAACTATATCAAAGTAACATTATAACAATAGTTCATAAATAGGTTCATTATTGGCTCACAAATCCCCCTATACTCCACAAATACTCCATGTATCCACACTCCCTCTTTAATATTGCATGTTAATAATGTTTTTATTAATTATTGTTGTAGATTTCACAATCTCTCTGCTATCGATATCAAACCGAACACTACAGAAGGTTACAGAGTGACCCAAATATCAAGACCATGGGGGCGCTATATTGGCATTTGAACAGTATATGGCAGGGTCCTACTTGGTCGTCCGTGGGTAAGTGCACGGTGGGAGAATTCCCCCCACGATCTCAACACCAGGATGATTCAACGTTCATTCAAATTGGTTGCTCTGACTGCAATTTTAATAACGTAGTTTTTGTTGTTTTCTGTATTAGAGTTTGGCGAACGTTTTAAAATGTTGCACTACTCCGCCAGAAAGTTCTTTTCTCCGCTGATAGTCTCACCATACGAGGACGTAGTGGGCGATATATACATATATATTGTGAATGACCACCCGTACGACATCGAAAACTTGACACTCAGCGTTGAATTCTGGAAGTGGGATAGCACTGACTTCACAGCTACTACGGAATTCAATCACAACATAGATGTGAGTCATCAAAGTGACAGGAAGTGTGGTCATATGATAACTACGTAATCGCCACGCGATGGTTGAATTAAGCCATAAATGGTTATTGTACAAAATCCACTAAGTGATATCTTTTTCAAAATTTGTCGATATTCTTATGAACAGATCTCAGTGCAACGAACGTATATATGAATAAATGTGTGGTTCTATTTCAGATAGTACATGGACAGAGTTCCCAAATCGTTTACTCTAAAATCAGCGGTATTGACAATATGATATCAGCGACATCGTGCTCCCGTAAAGAATGTGTCGCTACATTCAGTTTAACTGATCATGTGACAGGTCACGATATGGCCCCAAGAACTGAATTATACTTGTCATCTTTTAAAGATGTGGTGGGACTGCAAGAGGCAGACCTGAAAGTTAAATTGTTGGTAAGTTTAATCAAAAACGTCATGAAAATAAACAAATTAACATTCGTAATAAATAAATAAATAAATAAATAAATAAATAAATAAATAAATAAATAAATAAATAAATAAATAAATAAATAAATAAATAAATAAATAAATAAATAAATAAATAAATAAATAAATAAATAAATAAATAAATAAATAAATAAATAAATAAATAAATAAATTGTTTATGAAGTAATTATATTATATCACTTGATCACTGATTATTAAGTATGACTTTTTACAGGAACCCACAGACTCAGAAGAAACTGGATTTTTAACAGAGTTTGAGGTGAACGTGACCACTGACGCTATTACAGCTTTCACGTGGCTGGGCACTGACACGATCACCGGCCACTTCTCTGATAATGGTTTCTTACTGACTGAGCCATGGAAAATAATCCAATTCACCGCCTGGCACCCAGTTGAATATGAAGACTTGAAGGACAATATTAACGTACAAAGTCTCAGGGACACGTACTAACCATGAGAGCTAGACCAATACTAGCCAACCCAGTGTCTTGGTTTAACTCATAATCCTCTATCAGGAATTGTGTTTAGCCGAATGGGTCCTCGTTATTTTGTTTTTATTTGATCCCAGTTATATTATATTCGTGTTTTTCCTGGGATAGTTTTTTTATTCCCTTTCGCTCTACAGCGTGATTGAGTATCAAAATTATATACATTTTAGAGTTTAATTAGCGCCATCTAGCGATAGCGAGTGATTTTTTTTTCGTATTAAACGCGCATGACCGAAATGCGAATATTGTAATTCACAAGTGATGCGAGAGATACGCATCACATAGCCACTGTAACCATGGCAACATAATATAGCGTCGACACACACATGAGAATTCTGACGTCATTTATTCTAACTGTATACATAGTAAATTGGACGACACAGATCGTGAATATAGAGTAAATCGAAGTGTGATTATGAACCATTTAGACAATTTCCTTGTATTCTCTCCACTTAGTCATCTGAGACACGTCATTTAGACTAGGCATTAAGTGGTAGAGCATATTGTGTTTATTTCATCTTACCGAAACTAGGTAAGAAAGATTTTTTAGAAAGATAAAAAAAAGCCAAGGAAACAGAATGTGAGTAATCTCCCCTGGCATCAACTTATGCATGTTGCTGTGAACTATGGCATTTCTATGATAATCCAGTTGCAGACCACATTATATGAATATATTTACAACAATAGTTGAAACCATGTTCATCGGATAAGAGTATCATCTGGATAAATCTTTAGTTCGAGCAATGAAAGAATTACATTGCAACCACATCACGATCAATACGAATGTGGGCGTTTCGGCACTAGTCGGTCCATTTGAATTGTAATTCGCAAGTTGATGAATTCCATTGCTCAACAATGTTCGCCAAGATTTGTATTGTGTTGTGAAGTTGTACGCATGTACTTGACATTTACGTGTTTTAAGACATTCTTGGCAAATCCATAGATTATCGTGTATTTAATCATTCGCTTCAATTTCAAGTACTTAACAATGTACATTTTTTTTGTAATGTAACCAGTATTTTTCACTTTTGAGAAAATGCTTTCCTGTGATTCACTTATCGATCACTTATCGACCAATCAGTCAATTAATCGTTAACGTCACGTTATGTGTGTTTCAAAAGTATCACTGTGCACTGCGATATGTGCCTTCAACTTGAGTGATCACATGACCAGAACGGGAGTTTGAATAAATTGTGCTCGCAGTTGACTGCAATGTTCAACCATTGTTGTACGATAATAACAAATAAGATCTAATTGAACTAATAAATGTATATTGTTAACACAAACTGTCAAATGACACTAATACACTGTCAAATTGATGTTCAGATATGATGTCGCATATTTGTCAATGTCAGTTAAGAAACAATCACGGCGGTTTCTTGATTTATAGTACAATATATCATGAATGTACTATCGTAATTCCATGTTATTCGGTCTCTCATGTTCAAATGAGTCTTATGGATTTAAATAGGCACATACAATATATGATTTGTACACTCTTATACTATAATAGCTAGCATTCATTTTGGAAATAGGGAATTATCACCTGTCTAAGTTATAATGTCAAAGTTACTGAATGTACCCAGAATGAACTAAACATATGTTCTACATGACGTCATGTGAATGATAACATTATTTATTTATTTCCACTCCCTCCCCAAACTCCTCCCAATAATAATCCCAGAAATAATGATTAAGAGTTATTTTTTTATTTTTTTCAGTAGGACAGTGAAACAAAACAAAAAATATTTTATTATTATAAGAATGCCCCGTCATACACCAAACCCATTCCACGTATAGCACTATAAATTACTATGTATTATGATTAATGTAGGAAAAGAAAAGCAAAACAAAATCGTGTATTATCCAGACAGAACGCCATGGTCTCACTTTGGTGTTTGTGGGGTTTGTAAGTTATTTCCACAAGTGATGCGGTATGTCCTTCAGATAACCACAGGAACTCGTCAACTTGGTCACCTAATCGGCGCTTAAAAATGCTTTAAAAATCCTGTGAACTTTATGAATGTCCATGAAATATACTTTTTTAGTTTATTTATTATAAACTCACTAAAAATAAATTGACTTTTTAACCACTAGAAACAATGGAAATTAAAAAACACACACACACACACATAATATATCCACACTGGACACCCTATTGACATTTGAAAAATTGTTTGGGAGTGTGATTGTCGGACTGAGTCTTATTTATTTGTGCTGCCATCCCGCGGTGAAGTTCTAATTTTGCAAAATGCACTTTTTGGAAATTCCCTTTTACAAATACTGAACTGATCATAAGTACGAAATCACAAAATGAAGTAGCGGACCACTTAGTTATGTATCAAAGTAGGTAACTCAATATCAACATCTTTTTAGTAATATGTTTTTTAGTAACATGACTAATTTAAAGTAATAAAATTAAATCTGAATCAACAGAAATATTCATACTGTATTTTGCCAAAATATAAAAATATTCTTGGACAGCAATCGATTGTATGTGAACCCACCAAACGAATAAATCGAATATGTGCTGGGATAAACTTTCATATTTCTTATCACTTATTTCTTTTATTAACATGACCTTTTCTTATCCTATTTAAATATACAATTTTATTGAAATTACCATTTGATGGAGAGGCCGGAATTAGAGTTGATTAGATAATGTGCGTATTGTTCTTCGCCGATAGCAATGTAAAATGAGAGACGCTGATTGGTTATTATTTATAGCGTGGGTGTTGATCTTCACCACACGTGACCGGGATCGAATGGCGGTTTCTATTCGACAACGTTAGAGAGTTATTAGCTGTTACACTTTGCTAAATGTCATAGCGTTTAAATTGTAGTTTCGCTTTAGCATGGAATATTGTTGTCCCAAAAAAGATGATATTTGTTGCACGTATGCAATATTTTGATGTATAATTACCCCCGCTATCTGTTTTTTCCGTTGGCTGGTTCCCGCCTCAAGTGTCATGGCGTACCAAGCCACAAGAGGCCGGTAACCCTTAACGGTTCCGGCATTCTGATTGGGCCATCACTTTCTCGTTGCTTGTTCTATTTCCGTCAGCACTTACGCTCGTGGCCCCAGAGCAGGGGTTTCCTTTTACTCTTGAAAGTTGGGCGAATATAAACTGTTTCTTTTGTTATAAATTTGCACAGAAACAGCGAGAAATGCCGGAAACTACTCAAATATGTAAGTCTAAGGAATGTATGATGGGCATGGCTTAATGTTTACAAAAAACGAATATTAGAACATTTTCAATTACGTCACGTAGTCACGTGACTTTGATCCGGAATCCCGACCCAGTGGAACAATATGGCGATTACTAGTTGCCTGCGCCCTACTTGCCATTTGCAAGGGACGCCGGGAACCAATGAATTTTCTCCGCTTCGCTACCGAAAAGTAGACTTCAGAACATTTGCTATGCGATTTCTGTTCCGCCCACCATAAATTTGCATGTCTCGATAATTAGCCTAGAAAAAAACATCCAATCATGTGAGACATTTGAAAGGTAACCCACTTTAATAATTAATGAATTAGTATATACCCATTTTTGTAATCGGGCGTGTGATTCAACGCCACAGAACTACGTAGGCGTCTGCTGCTATGGTTGTGCGCGGTTTGCTCTTGATGCAAGTTGATGTTACATTTTTGAAGTCGTAATAAATGAATGTACAATTAATGTAGTTGTGTTGGGACTGTTCTGTCGGTCAAATTAGATAAAACACTTTGAAACCAGAGTATTTACCTTGTTCTTGACGGTTTGAGTGAAATATTATTCACTGCCAACTTTAACGGCGACGGGATGTTTTCTCATACTAAAACGAACGTCGATACTTAGTCGGAGATTGCACCAAAGAAAACTAATACAATGTTCACGACCGTATGTAGCAATAGACCATATCAAAGTTTTCAAATTAAAGATTTTACCGAAGTTGATTTCATATTTGTTTTAGTTCCCAACACACTAATTTGGCCATTACTAATTGTCCAGTATCTCCCGTGTGCTGTTAATTGTGCCAGCTATCATAATATCATGCATACATAGTTCCTGAGCACCTCATAAGAATCTGCTCCCGATTGCAATGCTATTTCCATCTACCACTAGCAATATGTTCATTTACCCTTCATTCATTCAACATGGTTATATACGCCAACATGCATCTTGTCTATTCACCCATAAAAATCTTTCAACATGCCTGTTCACCAACAACTTACGTCAGCATGACCATTTTCCTATCAACATGTATCTTTAGTGGCAACGTAATTCTGTCTATTCACCAATCAACACCCACCACCACGTTCATTCACTCGTCAAGATCCTTTAACATGTATGTTCATTGCAAACATATATATCAATATATCTATTGACTCATCAAGACCCTGAAACATGTTCATTAATCGCCCAATTCATGATTCGTCAATTCATTTATTTTGTGGACGATTTTTCCAGCATCAATTAACTCTTCACATTAACATATAGATGGCGTCTAGGTGTGGAATTTATCAGCAAAATTACTAGGTGATTCTCAGCCTTAATTTGCTATTACCGACAATACCATTCTCATCAATACCATTCCTCGAAAAGCAGTTAGTATGTCTACAGAGAAACTAACGTCTATCTAATCCAATCTAAGATTGTGACGACGCCGAGATTAAAAATAACAGTACAACGTTTTTCTTCTGCATTACGTCGAATTCATGTCGAGATATTCAGAGAACACATATGCGATGCTAAATAAGAAAAAAACAGAGATGGGAATAAAATTAAGCCGGTGGTATTTGGCAATGAAGCGCTCTTTCAACTTGCAAACAAATACACAAACAAACAAACAAACACGCAGACATTACAACATGAAGCACGGAAGCACGGCATGGCCGGTTATATTTTTAATACATTGTTTTATTATTTTATATTATCGCACTTTTTTATTACGTACTTATTGTTTGCTATTACATGTATAT